TGAAGATGTCTAATCTTAACCCCCCAAATTCCCCCAGCCAGCATTTGCTGGCGGGGGAATTCTGGGAGTTGAAGTCCAGACATCTTCAAGTAGCCAAGGTTGAGAAACACTGCATTACACCCTTCCACAAAGAATGCCAAGCTATCATGAAAAACTGAATGGAAATAACTTCCCTCAACCTAATTATATTTGGATGGAAATTTTTTTTGCACAATGCATATGTATATATAGAGAGAGATGCTCACTTAAGGGAGTGATAGTGGAATTGGCCTTTGAGATGTTCCACTGCCTGGCATGGGTAAAACCTAAGCCATTTGGAAAAATGGCATAAACAATTCCAATTTCTAGAAGTTTCTGGAATTGCCCTTTTTGTCTCAACTAAAGATTTGATGGAGAGTTATCAGATAGACCGGAGAACTTTTTATGACTCTGAAGAAGCTCAATGGGGTTGCTGCGCTTAATTTATTTGAAGATGATTTTGAATGTATTGCACATGCCTGAATCTTGCACAGTCACCATTCTTAATCCTGTGAAGTCACATGTTCAGCTGAAGGCAAGTTAAGTTTTCCCTTCCCATCAACAGAGACTCATAGGGCACCTAGGTTATTAATATGTGTTTGCACATGTCACTAACATTCATCGTCCTGTCTATTTTTCATGAACAGCGGTAGACATGCTACTGCTCATTTCATTATCCATGTTTCTCTGTTTTTCAAAAACCATGCTTATGTGTGTCTGCAGTTTCTGTTCATTTTGTTCATACATACTTTTTGTTTCTGTTATGTTATGTAGTCTTATACCAGTGGCTAGAAGCCGACCGCCATGGCAGGAATTCAGATACTGCAAACAGAACATCAGGTAAAAAGAAACATGGGGGTTTGCTAATTTTAACTACAGCTTTCCATCTTTTTCATTTGTCTTGAATTCCATTAAATTCTATTCATTGATTGGTTACTTTAATTATTTTAATCAGCAGTTATCATTCTTTTCCTGGGGAGTTCTAAGTTAATAAACTAACAGCCATTTGCCTTTTGTTCTCTTACCAGCTCTAACTACATACACATGTTTTTGTTTTGTTTTTTGCTCAGGGATTTTTGTACTTCATGCTGTTAAATGGTTTGCTTAATAATGGCCTGTGGAAGCCACAATTGGCTGGTTTTCCAGGGCCAGCCGTAAGCCCAATTTTGCAAATCGTAGTGTTTGTGATTTAACACTTCAAGCCAAAACATAACAAACCATATTTTAGCTGACATGAACCTAATGTTAGAATTATGTGTTGTACTTTTATCACATGTGGGAGTTTTCTCCTAGGCTGCTGATTTTCTCAAGCCTGAAAGCTACAAAACAATCTCATTTTGCATTGATGGCAATTGTATAGAAAATTGTATAGAAATCCACCAAGTCTACCATTTACACTTATGTAGTAAAAGAAGGAGGGAGAACATGTGCCGTTATTTATTAAAATATTTAAAGCTTGCCTTTGGGCTACCAGATTCCACTTCCACTCACAATACTAAAAACATAGCATCCGCATTAATTTTTTTTAAAGTCCTTACAAAGGATAATTAGTAGCAACAATCACGTTACAAAATGGAAAAGAAGCTGATCTGATAATGGAATGCTTCCTAAAAAGGGCTTTGTTGGGCAACCATTAGAAACAATGGATGATTTCTGAACACGGATTGTTGAGTGAGGATTATGTAAGGAGCATGTCAAGCAGGAAGGTTTTATTTGTGTTGCCAACAAAGTGGACATGGCTGGGCTCCAAGATTGGTTCCACCACAAAACAGACTAAAGCGCGTGTGACTAAAGCGCAGTGACAAAACCGCAATGTCAAAACCGCACGACAGCGCGCCGACAACAGCGCACCGACAGAAGCGCGCTGTAACATAACCCTAAAAATAACCCTAAACCTAACCCTAAACCTAACGCTAAACCTATCCTAAACCTACCCTACCCTAAACCTAACCCTAAACCTAACCCTAAACCTTACCTTAAGTTAAATCGCGCTTCTGTCGGCGCGCTGTTGTCGGCGCGCTGTTGTCGGCGCGCTTTTGACATCGCGGTTTTAGCGCCGCGGTGTTGTCGGCGCGCTTTTGACGTTCGCGGTTATGTCGTGCCACGCCAAGATCTTGGATGCAAAACTCTAGATGTCTTCTAGACAGCAGCCAAGAGATACAATAAATGTTAGCTGTTTGCTCGCTGTGCCATCTGTGGTTACCTGGAGTTTTGCAGCCCAGATTTGTTGCTAAATTCAAACTAAGTAATCAAGTGAAAAGCTTTATGAAGTCATTCAGAAATGAGGCTTGGAAAAGTAGCAGCCACCAATCTTTCTGATTGGGACTGGTTTTGGAAGAAAAGTTGGCTTCCACAGACTGTGGCAGACGGGTGGAGGGATGATTTCATGCATGCAACTTAAATCCTGTTCCTGCACAGATGAAGTTTTGCCGAGATAGCGCAATGGTTAGAGTGCAGTACTGCAAGCTACTGCTCCCTGCTTGCCTGCCTACAATTTGGCAGTTCTGAATCTCACCAGGTTCAAGGTTGACTCAGCCTTCCATCCTTCTGAGGTGGGTAAAATGAGAACCCAGATTGTTGGGGACAATAGGCTGACTCTGTAAACTGCTTCGAGAGAGCTGTAAAAGCACTATGAAGTGGTATATAAGTCTAAGTGCTATTGCTATTCTCACTCACTTGCCACTTGCATAGCCCACGGATTGGAGACCCCTGGTTTACAGCTTCATCAAGAGTCTGTGGAGATTCTTAGTCATCCAGGTCATGGTTGTCCCAAAGGTGCTTTTTCAAGAGGCAAATGGACTTTCCAGTTTATCTTTGAAGACGTTTCGCTTCTCATTCCAAGAAGCTTCTTCAGCTGCTAACCCTAACCCCAACCCTTGAAAATCCTATTCATTGCAACTACAGATCCCATAACAAACCATAATTACAAAATAGAATAGAGAATGAGCACTTTTGTTCATACCACCCTTTATGCACGATGGGAAGGAGATTAATTTTTCTTAGTTTATACAAATTATAGCTTTCTCACTAAAGAATACCTGGAACCCCAGTTAGATCATGGGATGAGACCCTGGTTTGAAAACAAATGTAATTATACTTTGCTTCCTTTTGGATGGAGAAGCAAAGTATGGTTTTCTTCAACCTACAAGATGACGCTTTTAGTCTTTTCTCCTTATATGTGAAAAGGGAATATTTCCACCTATAGCTATAGGTCACTGTTGCTCATTCTTGTAACAGCCAATAATGGTACGTTGTGTCTAAACGTAGCATAATATGCTTTTTATATAACCCCTCCCGCAGAGCAGGGTTCCCCAAACTTCACCACTTTGCAGAGCTGGCTGGAGAATTGTGGGAGTTGAAGTCCACAAGTCGCCAAGTTGCCAATTTTGAAGACCTCTGCCCCAAGTATAAGAAATGAAAGGCCAACTCCACTGGGAATAAGGAAATTCATTAAGATTTGTCTGTCATGCTATACAGATGAAGTAGTTTTCCCCTAAAAAAATAAAAAAGCCAAGGATATTTTTATACCAGATATGTGGCAGACTGCATTTCCACAAAATTTGTGACTAACTTTAATCCTTAAATGAGTGGACTGAAAAGAGTTTTGTGTTTTTTTCTGTGTAGTATCAGCCTTACTGATTCAGTTTTTTTCAGAACAAACTTTTAAAGTCTTTCCTTTTCCTACTAACATTGTTTAAACAGTTTAGGATGGTATATTTAGGTGTATGATTGGAACCTAAGGTGATGAAAGCAAAAAATGTTTGTTTTTACCCTTGCTTGGGTCTATTGGAAAACATTGGTCAGTATTATCATTACCACTTTTAAAGTGTGTTTTCTGAAATGGATTTGTGAACGCAGCAGTGGTGGGTTGTAGGCCTTATGCCCCGGTATGGGTGTACCGGTGCCTGCCCGGAGCACTGGGTACCATTCTGGTACGGTGCTCTGGAGGGCCCACCTGCCGGCCCGACCTCCTTACCTGTATTTGAACGGCGCCTGCGCGATGCTCCGCCGAGCAGCTGAAGTGTTGCAGAGGCTCGCAGAGGCATCGCAAGAGGTAAGGACGTATGAGCGTGCTGCGCGTGTGTGCGCATGTGCTGCGCATGTTCATGTGGACGCTGGGCCCCGTTGCATCGTACTGGTTGCAACGGGATCCAGAACCCACCACTGGATCGCAGCTACAGTTATAGTTAAGTACGATACCAATAACCATGAGAAACCAGCCATCTGCAGGAGAATTGGTGGAAAGGATTCCACCCCAACCTGATGGTGAGAATGTATGCACGAATGAACGAAGTAATTATCCATATGAGCCTTGAGCCAGCATGGATTGTGTTGTGTGAATCTGACCATCAACTTTTAAGCGATCCTATCTCATAAGCTTCTGCCAACCTAGCAGTTTGATAGCATGTAAAAATGTAAGTAGAAAAAATAGGAATCACGTTTGGTGGGAAGGTAACAGTGTTCCATGTGCCTTCGGCATTTAATCATGCTGGCCACATGACCACAGAAATGTCTTTGGACAGCGTTGGCTCTTTGGCTTTGAAACGGAGATACGTACTGCCCCTTAGAGTCAGGAACGACTAGCACATAAGTGTGAGGGAAACCTTTACCTTTTACCTCATAAGTGAACAAAAATGCTGGTGATTATAAAGAGGGCCACTGAATGTTGTTCTGAGGTGTATGTGTGTGTGTGAGAGAGAGAGAGAAGGGGGGGAGATGAATTTGATAAATATGTCTGCAAACACATATTTGGATTAAGGCAAAGGTTCCCCTCGCACATATGTGCTAGTCGTTCCCTATTCTAGGGGGCAGTGCTCATCTTGGTTTCAAAGCCAAAGAGCCAGCGCTGTCCGAAGACGTCTCCATGGTCATGTAGCTGGCATGACTAAAATCTGAAGGTGCACGGAACACTGTGTTACCTTCCCAACCAAAGATGGCCCCTATTTTTCTGCTTGCATTTTTATATGCTTTCGAACAGCTAGGTTGGCAGAAGCTGGGACAAGTAAGAGAAGCTCGCTCTGTTACATGGCACTAAGGATTCGAACTGCCGATTTTTGTGATCGACAAGCTCAGCATCTTAGCCACCGAGCCACCCTTACATATTTGTATTACAGGTGCCCTTAACAAGACAATTCAATTTTTTCAAGGTAAAGTTTCTGAAATAACTTCAATGCACCATATGCACCCTGGCAATAGATCAATTTCTAGGTATTAAGTATCAATCCCCTGTAGTTCCAAGACACTTTGGGCAATTGAGATTAAAGTTAGGATGAAATTAATATAACAAAGCCCTAAATAAGTGGGAAAGAGAGCCAGTTTGGTCTAGTTGGACTCTGCTGACAAACTGGGCTCAGTTCATCCCAACAAATCAACATTCAGTTGATTTGAAAAAGTGAAACATCCCTGTGGATGGGGTGGGAGGGGGACAGGACATGGCACACTAGGGGGTGGGGAAGCTAAATAATTGGAAAGGGGATTAATCTAGCTGTTGGTTTATTGCCTGCTGTGAAAAGCATCTGAAAAACGAAATTCAGTTGTTGGTTTTCTGTCTGCTGCTCAACACCCAGATGAGAATTTGCAGCTACCAGTAAATGATTCATTGCCGATAAGCAGAGAATTCTCAAAGGCAGCGAAGGTCTTAGTGTCTATTCAGATTAATAATGCAATTTTCCTTTCCTCTTCTGCTCCTACAATTTTTACATGTTTGCTGATAACGTGAAACATAGGCAAGATATGCAATCTTTTTTTTCTTTTTTCTTTTTGCACTGTGTAGAATTTTGTCAGGCTATGCAGACGGTACAACTGTAATTCATGCTGCCTTTTCAAACATTGATGTTTAAAATTTGCTATTGTTCAGGTTCTGTGATTTCAGGAAGATTGCATTATCTTGTGAATACATGTCTCTTTACATATACCGTACAATGCCAGACATTCTCTCTCTCTCTCTCTCTCTCTCTCTCTCTCTCTCTCTCTCTCCCCTCTCTTTCTCTCTCCCTCTCCCCCTCTTCCTCTCATTATTTTTTTTAAGTCAGTGAAATAAAAATGAAAAGAATATTATAAAGATAGCATAACAATAGAATACAATAATACAAATAACAAAGTGTTGATCTTCTGGACCAGAGGTAGTCAACCTGGTCCCTACCGCCCACTAATAGATGTTCCAGCTTTCATGGTGGGCGGTAGGGGTTTGCTATAACTCTGCTTTATAAATTTTATAAAGTAAAGTTACTTCCCTACTTTATAAATCACCATTACTGTGGAACCAGTGGGCGGTTAGAAAATGTTAATACTAACAGAGATACAAAAGTGGGCAGTAGTTATAAAAAGGTTGACTACCCCTGTTCTAGACAATCATTCCAGGCAACATAAAACTGATTTAGAATCTACGCTGGGGACAAGTATTGCGTTCTCAGACTTCTCACTAAAACTCTTATTTGGCTCAGCCCCTATTTTACCTATACCATTGCTATTTTACCTATTAGGTTATTAACTACTGGTAGTCCTTGACTTGCAACCATTCCCCAAATTTAGATACTGGAAAAAGTGACTTACAACCGGTCCTTGCGCTGATGACTAATGCAGTATCCCTGTGGTTATGTGAAGAGCCATGGTGTCACAATAGTTAAGAGTGCAGTACTGCAGGCTACTTCTGCTGACTGCCGGCTGCCTGCAATTTGGCAGTTCAATTCTCACCAGGCTCAAGGTTGACTCAACCTTCCATCCTTCCGAGGTGGGTAAAATGAGTACCCAGATTGTTGGGGGACAATAGGCTGACTCTGTAAACCTCTTAGAGCAGGCTATAAAGCAGTGTGAAGCGGTCTATAAGTCCAAGTGCTATTGCTATCCAAATTTAGGCACCTGGCAACTGACATGTATTTATGAGAGTTGCAATGTCCCATGGTCATGTGGTTGCCATTTGTGGCCTTCCCAGCTGACTTCCAATAAGCAAAGTCAATGGCAGATTCATTTAACAACTGTGTTATTAATTTGACAACCATTAATGATTTGCTTCACAACCATGGCAAAAAAAGATTGTAAAATTGGGTGCAACTCACTTAAAACTGTCTTCCTTAGCAATGGAAATTCTGGTCCCAAGTGTGATCATAAGTTGAAGATCTCCTGAAGTTATGATTTAAACTTTTTTTAAAAAGGGCTGATGCTTTCAATATCATTTTTTAAACTTATATTAACAAGTATCACTTCATGGAGTGGTATGAATATGGTATGGTTCACTTTAATGATGGATTATTCCTTCTGCCAAAAATTTCAGGTATGTTTTAAAAAAATAAACATAACACTGTTTTTTCCTCCCTGTGGCTTTTGTTCTCTTTAAGGGGATAAACAAACTTGAAGCTTTCTTTGAAAATAGTTCATTGACATGATGATTTTTGCTTCTTAATCTATTGCAGGAGAAAATTTTGACCAGAGTCCCTTGAGAAGAACTTTCAAGTCAAAAGTCTTGGCTCACTATCCCCAAAATATAGAATGGAACCCCTTTGATCAAGATGCCGTCAACATGGTACGTAGAGAAACACCTTCTAAAAGAGTTTCACATTCTAGTCCTCGCCTACTGGGCCAAAGCCTGCTCTTCTTGCATGGTTCAGTTTTCCGCTCTTTCTATTTCAGTCCTTAATTAAATAAGGTAATTCTGACTGAGGAGGATTAGCCCACATGTCTCTATTCATACATAGATTTGTGGCCAAAGATTGGGCTGTAATCAAATGTGTGAAGTCAATACTGGATTCACACTTCACTGTAAGTTATAATATTTGTTCAGGCTAGCTTGATCTGTGAATCAGGCTACCATCATAAACTGTGGTTTATAAATCAGCATTGGCTATGAGGCCACCCTGTTGAGGCTTTTCCAACCAACTGATCAAAACTGTGAAATATCACAAAATGTGAATTGAGCCCCTGTGTCATGTTCAGCCTGAAGAAGATTTAGGACAGTGGTTTTCCATCTTTTTTTTTCACCACGGACCCCCCCTTAAATACCTTTTGTGGCAGATGATACAACAATGTATTGAGCTGAAGCCAGAAACATTTCTGCTAGGAATTCTACCTGAAATTTATAATAAAGAGAATGTATATTTAATCATTCAGGTATCAACCGCAGCTAGAATTGTATTTGCACAACAACATTGGAAGATTGTAGAGATTTCTATTGATCAGAAGATGATAAGGAAAATATTAGAACGTGCAGAAATGAACAGATTAACATTAGCAATTAAGGAGAAAGAGCAAACTGAATATTATATGATTTGGGAAGTATTTTACTAATGGTTGGAGAGAAAAAAAGGAGTTTGGAAATGAAAAAAGCTAAAAAATAAGTAGATAATAAATAGATATAAATAAGGTGAAAACTGTTACTATGAGTATGATGAGAATAACGATGTTTAATGTTGATATGTTATTATTACTAGAAGATATTAAGAAGAAAAATTGAGAGTTCCATAATGTTTAAATGCTCAATATATTATAATACTAAAGTTAGGGAAATAATGTTAATACGAATATGAAATATATGGTAAAAGAGGAACGATGTTTGTACCCAAATGACACACTGCATATGGGAAGATGGAATGTTTATTCTTGTAACTAAAAATAATAAAACTCTTAAAAAAAAACCTTTTGTGGCCACAGACACCCATGATTTTACTCAAGATTTAAATCATATAGACACTTGCCCAAAGCCTTTATGGACTACCTGGTAATGACATTGCAACTTCCCAGGGGTCCGCAGACCACAAGTTGAGAACCACTGACTTAGAAAACACTTTCATACAGCTAAGTAAAACTAAAGTGAAAGTATTTTCTAAGCCCTCCCTCCTCAAACCTTTATTTCATAGGTTTTCTAAATTCCAGTCTTTTCCTTCAATAAGTCAGTATTTTCACATTTGTCTTAGGCTCAATTACTTACAGCAATTGTATCATTGTCTTGCTTCTCAGTGATATAACAACAGATGAAATATCCCTATGCTTCTGCCTTATAATAAAAGCTCTTTATTCCTTATAGTATAGCTTGTCACAGTATCTGACTACTGTACATGCTCAAAGAATTGTGAATTCTTTAATAAGATACAGGTATCTCTCACAAACGTAATTGAGCCCACAAATTTGGTTATAAAGTCACAATAGTCATAACGGTGTCACCACATGATTGTGTCTGATTTTATGACCTTTTTTGCGACACAAAATATAAACAAGCAGCACTTGTCGATATAAAACAAGTGCTGCTGTTAGGCGCAAAAGATCAGTCCACACACGAAAGTCCAATTAAACTGATTTATCACTACTCGTAGCCTATGCCCGTGATGGTGAACCTATGGCATGCATGCCAGAAGTGACACGCAGAGCCTTCTCTGTGGTCACACACACTATCCCCAGCTGCGCTTCTGGTTTCCGCTAGAGCCAAGGTGGCGCAGTGGTTAAATGCAGCACTGCAGGCTACTGCTAGATCAGCAGGTCAGCGGTTCAAATCTCACCGGCTCAGGGTTGACTCAGCCTTCCATCCTTCCGAGGTGGGTAAAATGAGGACCCAGATTGTTGGGGGCAATATGCTGACTCTCTGTAAACCGCTTAGAGAGGCCTGAAAGGCCTATGAAGCGGTATATAAGTCCACTGCTATTGCTATTGCTATTGCTATTGTCTTTGCGGGCGCCAGAGCATTGGAAAACGGCCTGAAAAATGGCCTAAAACCAGGCCTTTTTCATGGCTGTTTCTGGGCCATTTTCCAAGGCATTTTCAGCCTGATTTTTGCATCATTTTCAGGCTGGTTTTTGCGTCATTTTCAGGCTGGTTTTCAGGTCACTTTTAGGGTGATTTAACAGCCTGAAAACAGCCTCCAAACGGCCTGAAAATAGCCATCAAAACACCCCCAAAAAACAAGCATGAGTACGCCAGCTGTTCTTCGGGTTTCTGGCACTCTGGCGAGCATGCATGTTCTGGTTTGGGCACTTGGTGCTGAAAAGGTTTGCCATCACTGGAATCTTCTCGACTAAGTTAGAATCTGCTTGGTATTAGATAAGGCTAATATGGAATTCAAGGAGCGTTGGACTTAGCTCACTCGCAGCTACGTAGAGTTTCTAGGCTGATCCCTCTTTAAACTTTGCCATCAGATTCTACCTCTTCAATTGTTAAGTAAGCTCATTGTTTGCTATGGAGTATTTTTTTTTGCTGGAAATCAGAAGTAAACAATGGTTTCTGGCAAAAACGTTGTAAATCACAGTTCACATGTCTGTGGGATACCACAACTAGCCATCAATGTAAACGTTTTTGCCATTTTGGTGGCCGAGCCCCCAAAATGTGGTCACATGACTGTGGTGGTGATTGGTGTGGTAGACATCAGAACTTTAATTTCGGATCATAAGTAGCTTTCTCATGGTCCATGATAACTACGAATGGTCACTATGTGACCGGTCATAAGTTGAGGACTGCCTGTATGTGCATTCACGAGGAGTAAACTAATGTCCACCAAGGCACCATCAGACTATTGAAGCCTTCATGTTCTTATTAACGTTTAAAGAGATTGTGACAATTTGCTAAATAGCAGAATTCTTATTTTTTTTCTTCCTGTAGTCAAGTTTAATGTTGTTGTTGCCTTGTATTTTTGTCTGCTTTTTATATTAGTGAGCTATATATATATATATTTTGCAGGAAAAAGCTCAAATATTTTTAAGGTTAATCTAGAAAAGCCTTCTGCTGTGACTATATGCTAATTGAACTGCAGATGGCAAACATTAATGGAATGTTATTTAATTGAAGTTGGCTAATGGAAAGGGAGCAGTTTCATTTTAGGAACTGTGATACTCTGTTTTTCTACAGACTTTCACAGTTGTGCCACACATGTTTAAACTGTTTTTTTGCATATAGTGATGGCTGTTTCTTGATCTTTGATTGGGCAAAGTGCTTCAGGGAGTCCCTGCCACATTATGGGGAATAGTTAGGGAGTAAGATTGGTAGTTCTATAAGCACTTGAGAAGAATGCTTTAAAATTAGGTTTTGTTCAAGAATTTAAATTAAACATTCATACACACCCAGGTGCATTCTTCAAGTTACACATAGAATTAGTTCTGAAACCATTAGCTTGGAAACTGGCTGGTTCCCACACATTATAGTCTAATTAAGAGCAGAGAGGTTATCGAAGTGTCTATGTGCCACATCGTTGCTCTTATCATCTCAAGGTAGAACTCTTGTCTTACAATCAGGAGGTTGTGAGTTCAATCCTAGGTAGAGGCAGATGTAGGGTCTCCTGCTTGGGCAGGAGGTTGGAGTAGATGACTTGTAAGGTCCCTTCCAACTCTGATAATTTGTTATTGTTACTTTTGCTGGTGGATAAGAATCTGTCCTTCAATTGGTGGCAAAAGTAGCATCTCTGCCAATTGAGCAACACTCTGATCTGTACAAACTGGCTTTTCATTTGAGTGGTCTCATATTTTGTCAAGAAGCTCCAAGCAATTAAATAATTTAGAGTGGAAGAAGAGTTTCAGACCTCTCATAGTAGCTTCCCCTTTGATGGAACCAACCCATTTGCTCTTGAGGGAAAAAATGGCAATGGCACATTGCAGAATGTCTCCAAACCTGCCCCTCCTTCCCGCAGCATTGAGCATGACCCAATCTGGGTCACTCACCAGGACCAGAAGTTTTGTTTTCCAAACTTTCACCAGAATTCTGTCTCACATTTTGGTGAGAGATAAGTTCCCTCAGGATGGGCTCCAGCACAAGTCAGACAGCTCAGAAGATTAAATCTCTGGTCCCGGTGACAACATTATCCTGGAACATATACCATATTTTCCAGACTATAAGACGCCCCCCCCCAAAAGTGGGCGGAAATGTCGGTGCGTCTTATAGATCGAATACGGCCCCTGTTTTTGGTCTCTCAAAACCCCCCCACATGTCTCATTTTTGCAAAAAATGGGCCCATTTTTTGTGAAACCAGGATACGCAGAGAGGGGGGGCTGTAGAGATGCTCCTGGGGGCTGGGGAGGGCCAAAACCAGATTCACGGAGGCCAAAAACTATTTTTTCTTGTTTTCCTCTTTGAAATCTAGGTGTGTCCTATACTCTGGTGCGTTTTATAGTCCAAAAAATATAATATATTTGCCTTCATTTGTGAGCATTGAGTATGCTCATTTCTTTTTCTCGATTGGGAGTTTGTTGGGTTTCCATTTTATTATTTTGAAATTGTTCCAGACTTGTTGATAATTCCTCTTGTATATAGCTGGAACCATTTTGGCTACTAATGTTGAGCATTCCGTGGGTCAGTGTATGGATGTGTGAACAGTCCTATCAATTATGTACAAGTAGGCAGCACAATCTTCAAAATGGCTTCATATGTCTTCCAGAGGCTCAGCAGTTTTCAGACACTTTAACAAATACATCAGAAAAATTGTACTGAACTCATGCTTCACTTTCCTCATCTTTTCCTCTTTTTTTAATGAAATATTTTCAGAAGATTGCTTCCAAGAGAGTTTTATACAGATTAGTGCATTTGTATAACGATGAACTGGATTCCCTTTAGCTACGGTGTTTAGACACACATTTTTAATTGATATACAAAATATTTGCTACTATTAAATTATATGACTGTGGCTAAACTTTTAGCCTTAATACTGGGTTGTATAATTGACAAGCATGTAATATTCACATCCTTTTCAATTTTATATAATGTCCATTACTTGCTAAGGAAATAGGCTTTTTTTGTTAACTGCTTTCTTGAGAAATCTGTAGCTAATGCACAAGGTTATAAATTAATTTTAAGAACTATGGCAAATTCCATTGCTACACAATTATGCAAAATCAATGGAGCTTGAGGCTGGGAATTGTAACTTTTTAAGAATGTTGTGTTTAATTAAATGTTAAGAAAGAGAGTTTTTTTCAACCCTAGTTTCTTGTTAATAAGCATTATTTGCTTTATCAAATGACTACTATGTATAGTTTAAGACCCAGGCTTTGTCGACTGAAAGGTTGGCAGTTTGAGACCCAAGTACTGCATGACGGGGTAAACTCCTGTTTCTAGCCCAGGTCCTGCCAACTTAGCAGTTCAAAAGCATGCAAATGTGAGTAATAAATAGGTTCCACTGCGTGGGAATATAACAGTGTACCACGCACCTCAGCGTATAGTCATCTCAGTCACATGACCCTGGAAGCTTCTTTGGACAACCCTGGCTCACTCAGCCAGAAAACGGAGATGAGCACACTCCTTAAAGTGTGCTTGAACACAGCTGGGCAGGGAAAACCTTTACTTTTGTAGATTTTACAGTACAGGAATGTCCATAATAGAAGTCATGATGCGGCTGACAGGTGTATTTTCCTCTTCTCTTCTCACAGCTATGCATGCCCAAAGGGCTATCCTTCAGGACTCAATCTGACCACAGAGACCCCCAGTTCCATTCGTTCATCATTACGCGGGAAGATGGGTCCCGCACCTATGGATTTGTACTCACGTTTTTCGAGGAGGTCACAAGCAAGCAGATCTGTGCGGCCATGCAAACTCTTTACCAGATGCACAATGCGGAGCAATGCAACAGTGTCTCTGCCTCGTCGTCATGCAGCATGGACTCGCTGGCCAGTAGTCTGGATGAAGGAGACTCCACATCCCTGGCTAAAATGCAGCGCTGCAACTCGTACGACATCAACAGGGACACGCTGTATGTTTCCAAGTGTATATGTGTCATTGCTCCCCTGCCTTTCATGCAGGCGTGCAAGAAATTCCTCATCCAGCTTTACAAAGCCGTCACTTCCCAGCAACCTCCACCTTTGCCTCTGGAAAGCTACATCCATAACATTCTCTATGAAGTACCCCTTCCGCCCCCAGGAAGATCCCTCAAATTCTATGGGGTTTATGAGCCTATAATCTGCCAGAGACCGGGCCCTAATGAACTCCCCCTATATGACTATGCTCTCCGGGAAGCCTTTGAGCTGCTGGGCTTGGAGAATCTCATTCAAGTGTTTACATGTGTCCTCCTAGAAATGCAGATCCTTCTTTATTCTCAAGGTAAGTGGACTTCTCCTAACCTGACTGTGATTTTGACTTTTCTTGTCTTCCAAAATACTGACGTCACCCAATATAATAATGTGACGATTTTAGCACCACAATAAAGGGTATTTTCATTTTTTTAAAAAGGAAAAGGTATTCTGGTGTTTCATTGGGTGGAGGAGGATGGGTCTATAGGGTTTTGAAAAGCTGTCTCCTGTCTAGCAAACAAACAAATTTAATAAAGAAATAGACACTGAGGACTAGTAATAAATGTTGTCTCCCTTTTCTATGTATGTAGATATTTCTGGATAACCTAGCACCATTTGCCTCCAAAATAGCACTAGCACCTAGAGTTATATACCACTTTATAATGCTTTACAGCCACCTCTAAGCTGTTTAGAGAGTCAGCATATTGCCCCCAACAATCTGGGCCCTCATTTTACTGACCTCGTGAGGATGGAAGGCTGAGTCAACCCTGAACCCCAATCAGGATCAAACTCCAGACTATGGGTAGAATTTGCCCACATTACTGCATTCTAATAACTGCACCACCCAGGTTCCTTATAGTGCCATATGAGAAGACAGACAACAGTCAGGAAATCTATCAACAGAATGATGTGGAAGGAAAGTTTGACCGCCTACCCCATGCCAACCACAAAGGTTTTTTGGCTAGGAGGGGATGTATGAATAAGATGTATTAATAGTGGGTCACTCGTTACTACAAAAATTACAACCACACCTTCCCCCTGTGCAAGATTTCAAAAAATAAATTTGAAATCATCTGACATATTCTTTGAAAACTTACAATATTACCTGCAGGCACAAACTAAAAGGCAGGAAATTGACACCGAAAGCAGTAACCATCTTCCAAGAAAGCTATAATTGTCCAGAAGATAGGAAAACGCTTATTAATTGATAAGATCAAGGATTTATGTTCCAATATTTTTCTGGTTTTAAACAGCTTTGTGGAGACACCTTACATATTTTGAAAGCAATTATCCCTGACAGTGATTAGCTTCTTTAAAATAATTTTAAACGTGGAAGTTTTCTTATGCCAACAAAGAATCTAATGAAATTTGGTGGATGGGGAAGGAATAGATGTTTCAATAGTTTTGGAATAGTACTGTTTTGAGACTGATAACGCTGCTTTCTAGAGAGTAGTAATAGAATATGATTGCCACAAGATTGGGGTCAGAGAAAGATAAATTAAATTGTTAGTTCTGCATATACATAGAATGTAAGTGAGTCTACAAATAATCTAAAGAAGAATATATATCTTTTTCTAGCCTTTTATTTTAAGCCTTCCAGCTAAACTAGACAGGAAACATTACCAAGATGAGCTAATGCTACTTTATTGTAAAGCTAGAGGGACAAAATCTTGAAAATCTTGAGGGACAATTCTCCTACCTTTTAACAGCCTGATCAGTTAGGGCAGGTTCTTGCTAACTTTCTCATTCTGACCCTTAAACTTCTGGAACTTCCTTCCTCTCTTTATCTTATGGTTCCCTAAGCAGCATCTCTTCCTGCATCCCTCAAAATCATTCCCAGATAACATTACAAAGCCCCGCTCTGTCCAAGAGCATTTAATAAACTCCCCAGAACATTTTAATGATAGTGTATATCAGTGATGACTAACCTTTTTGGCACCGAGTGTTGAAAGCAGTGCATGTGCGCCCCTCCCCCCTGTGTGCATGTGCAATCCCCGTGTGTGCCCCACGTGCACGTGTGACCCCATGTGCACCCCATTCACCTGCGTGCAACCCCCACACATACGCATGTGACCCCCTCTTGTGTGGGCCCCACCCCCACACATGCACACATGACACCCCCTCATATGCCCCCCGCCCCCCTGCGTATACGCGGCAGAGGCCCCAAAATCAGCTGGGCGATGGGAGGCACATGCACAGCGGAACTGAGGTGAGGTGACAGCTTTTGTCCCTGCAGAGAGGGCTCTGCGTGCCACAGGTTCACCATCACGGGTATATGCCATTCTTCATCAGAGCTTCCAAAGCAATTTACCAAAACACAGTACTATATTTATAAAATATGATAAAGTTGCCGGAAGATTCTTTCCCCCTCCTCAAATACAGGTAGTCCTTGACTCATAACACTTCATTTAGTGACTGTTCAAAGTTACAATAACACTGACTTGACCATTTTTTACACTTATAATCTTTGTGGCGACTCCATAGCCGTGTGGTCAAAATTCAGGTGCTTGGCAACTGGCTCATATTTACGACAGTTGCAGTATCCCAGGCTCATGTGATCCCCTCTTGCAACCTTCTGCCAAGCAAAGTCAATGTGGGAGCCAGATTCATTTAACAGCCAGGTTACTAACTTAACAACTGCAGGGATTTACTTAACAACGGTGGCAAGAAAGGTTGTAAAATGGGACAAAACTCACTTAACAAATGTGCCATTTAGCAATTGTAGTCGTAAGTCGAGGATTACCTGTATATTAAACATTGTCCGATAACAGCAGCAACAAGAAAAAAATAAAATATTGCTTTTGACCAAGAGCATTCGGACATTTTTTGGACTTCCTGTCTGGATGGAAATGAGGGGAACATGGAACTCCTGGCCACTTCAGAAGCCAGTGCCCTGCTTTGAAGAACTGAGGTTCTGCAAAATCAGCAGATTGGATGTTTGTCCCAATCACAGCAGAGGACTGGAGAAGTTTATGGGCCTCTTTATTTTTCAGCAAAAGTTGTCTAAAAGCAAGTATTCCTTCTTCCTCCATCTCTTCCTCTGCCCCTTTAATGCAGAAGGGATGATTAGCATAGGATAGTGTTCCCCAATCTGATGCCCTCTATATTTGAAACTACTAGAAACGCTAACTCACAAACCAGGGGTATCAAACCCACTCACATCGCGGGCAGGGGTGGGTTCCCGCAGGCACTACTGCCGGTTCACTTGTTGGCACGCTGCGCACACTTGCATGCTTTGTGTGCATGCACAGTGCAATAAAAATTGATCTGTGCATGCGCAGAAGCGAAAAACAAGATGGCGTCACCCAGAAAACCAGTTTGGGGTGTGGCAGGCCTGGGTTGCTGCTGGCTCCAGCGACCCAGGCCGCCAAACCACTATCGGTTCAACCGAACCAGGTCAAACCAGTAGGAACCCATCACGGATCACAGGCCATAATATTGTGATGTATCACAATTATTTTTGTCTTTGCGGAACCAGGGTGGGTGTGGCCTGTGTGGGCCATATCTGGCCCGTGAGCTGCCATGTTGACCAGCCTGCCACAAACCATAACCCAGTGTTTCTCAACCTTGGCAACTTTAAGATATGTAGACTTCAGCTCTCGGAATTCCCCAGCCAGCCATGAGTTGAAGTCCATATATCTTAAAGTTGCTGAGAAACACAGCTAAAGGCTACACCCGCTGAGAATTCTGAGATGCGTAAAGCTGAGAAGGTTGATTTAGGATACTGTACTTGGTGGAGTGTATGCTTGGTGACTGACTGATAGGCTCATTGAGACTGGAGTGCAAATCCATTATATTTAATGGAGAACCATGGGAGACATGCGTTTTTAGACTAGCTCAGACCGCGAGCAAGAAAGAAAGAATGACACTCCAGTGTATTGTCAATGAGAACATTACAAACTTTGGTTTCATTATTAATGTGCCTCAGATGGCTGAGATAATCTAAGTAGTTTTCTTGTTTTTCTGCAAAAGTTTATTTTGTCTGGCTTTTACTGTTCTTGGGAAAGATTAATTAGGTCAGAATTAAAGAAAACTGTGGATTTCCAGGGGCCTCTTTCCTTGCCACTCAAACTTGAATTCCTGCATGAATGCTCATCAAACTGTTTTTTCCCCATGCTGGAAGCTTGGTAATATTCTCTGATGTTGATCAGGCATAAACATGGATAACATACTTGAGAAATAGAGTAGTTGTTTTTTTTCCTCATTAATGTTTCCCCAGCAAAGAGATAATGGGAAGTCATATAACTAGTGATGTGTGATATTTACAGTACATGCGTCTCAAATTGAATTGATCTATATTTTCTGAGGTCATTATTTAGGGGCACTCCCCTCAAAAGCAGTTGTTGAAATAATATTTAAATTATCTCTTTCTCAAGCACCTATTTTGAATGTTTTTGTTAAATATTCCACTAGTTTTATTTGGAAACAGAGACGCAGATCATTAGGCTAAAGGTCTGGTAGTTAAATTCTTGTTTAACACATCTATAGTTTGTCCATGGGTTGTACTTGAGCTTAAACTGTGAGCATTGTGTGTTCATTAATCAAAAATCACATTACTGTTATAACTATTTAAGTTTCAGAAAGTGGTGCTGTTAATACCGGTGACAGGTGCTAGTTCTTTGAATTTCGATTTGCCATAATCAGTTGGAATAAAATGCTGTCAAAATACTTGTGAGGAGAGTACTTTATGGAAATGTTTTTAAAATACATCCTAAGGATTAACCTCTGTAGTTAATTCTCATTCTGTCTTAAAGTGAATTTGCATGCTGTCTAAACATTTCATAGCTTGCTTTGAATGGCAGTTCTACAGTTAATAATTTAATTCATTTTACACAGGGGGGGAGAGTTAACCTACTACGCATTAAATTAAGTCAATAAATGCCTATTACAATGTGTATCCTGCAGATTTAAAAATCGCTTTGCAGTTGCCATCTGCTGGGCATTGAAATGTACATGGAAATTTGAAAGTAATGGGATTTTAGAGACAATTCTGTTTTGGGTTTCTTTGTTTAGACTATCAGCGTCTGATGACGGTTGCGGAAGGGATCACCACCTTGTTGTTCCCATTCCAGTGGCAACATGTGTATGTCCCCATCCTTCCAGCCTCACTCTTACATTTCCTGGATGCTCCTGTACCTTACTTGATGGGCCTCCAATCCAAAGAAGGAACAGATCGCTCTAAGCTGGAACTTCCTCAAGAGGTAAACGTTACTTTCAGCCCTTCATGGCTTGGATCTGGGTTATCTGAGGGACCGTCTCTTGCTGGTTATATTCACCCAACACACTAGATAGGCCAGGCAAGGAATGTTGCAGGTCCAGTGGTGGGATTCAAATTTTTTTACTATGGGTTCTGTGGGTGTGGCTTGGTGGGCGTGGCATGGCTTGACGGGCATGGTAGGAGGATACTATAAAATGTCTATTCCCACTCCACTCCAGGGGAAGGATAGTGTAAAATCTCCATTCCCTCCCCACTCCATGGGAAGGTTACAGCAAAATCCCCGTTTCCTCCCGGTCAGCTGGGATGCGGGAGGCATAGAATAGATGGGGTCGGGGCCAGCCAGAGGTGGTATTTACCAGTTCTCTGAACTACTCAAAATTTCTGCTACCACTTCTCCAGAACCTGCTGAATGCCACCTCTGTATAGGTCCCATCTCTTAAGGCGGTACTTCTGATAAGACCTTCTCTGTGGTGGCTCCTTTCCTTTGGGTTATCATTCCCGCAGAGATTAGACTAGCCCCCACTTTGACACAATTCTGTAAGGCCCTGAAGTCTTGGTTCTGTCAATGGGCCTGGGGAACTCAGAGTGAGATGGAGGCGATTAAGTGGTTCTTCGTTTGATTGTGTGTTGCCATCAGGGGGTGAGGAGTTATTGCTTTTTATTCTTTTGTACTGAGTTTTTACTGTTAGTAAGCCACCCAGAGTCCCTGAGACTGAGTGGACAGCCATATAAATCTCCCAAATAAATAAACTAATGGCAGTATTGCCAGTGCAAAGTTATCGTTCCCTGGGTGAAGACTTGTTGGGCTTTCTGATTGTTTACATTGATGCGAGATGGAAATTCAAATATAACTTGTGAATGCAGAACAGGGAACTGTCAACAATTATATCCAGGCACTGTAATTAAAATATCTCCCCACTTCACATTCCCAGGCAAACACACAAAAAGATAGGTAAGAAAATTTATTGCTGAGAAATAAGAGGCCACATGTACAAAGATGTCTTAACGGTGGCCTTGTCCTCTATGTATTGTTAATCTTTAGGTTTAAAATCCTGGGCCTCTTTGGCTTCTGTTTTCCGAGCCTTGAAGGTTTCTGCCATCTGTCTGCTTATAAATACTCTGGCATAAAAATCAGAGATCCTCACTTCATGGGCTTCCATTCTTACAATGGGTCAATTCTTATGCATGTGCTTTGTAAGGGGTGAGAAAATGAATGGAGCATGTTAAGGCAGGTTTGACATTTCCTAGGATCACAAGGTTAACTAAAGAAAGCAGCTGCTTGGTCTTCTAAAAAGATGCATCCATTTTAAGGTGTTATATATACAGATGAAACTCAACACACTACGCAGCCCTAGTAAATATTTTATATTACAAGGAACTTGCTCCTCTTTGAGAGTTGGAGGAAATGACAAAAAGACTTGCTGTATATTTAGATAAAGGTTTTAATGAAACCTGCATGTGTTTAGCATCGTTCACCATTTATTTTCTTCTTCTTTTTCCCCACCATCTGCCAAGCTGAAAAAGAGGTCAGAGATGCTTGCTTTTGATTAGGTTTTTTAAAAAAAACAAAACAAAAAAAACCCCAACATATGCAAATTCTGGTTTATTTTCTTCCTCCTATGATTTTCTTCTTGATCTTCAATTTCCGATTTGTCTGGAAGAGACAGTCCGAGGTTGTTGGTTTGCAAATCACAATTAAAAAAACACGGAATGTACCTCTGTGGTTTGCACCATCAGCCAAATTAAGTTTTAGAAACAATTGTGTCTGTTTGTAAATAAAGGGCTAGAAAACAAATGTTTAGTTGTAGTATTTGCTCTGAACAGTGGTAGTTGGGTTAAGGATCACAGCCTCTGTCTTAAGGAATTATTTGCACTTTAATTTGCAAATCCTTGCAGTTATTGGTTTTTGCAGGATCCTACTCTAATCTGAGTCACTCATTGGAACCAGAGTTTTAGTGGGTAGAAACATCAATGGGTGGAAACTAATCAAGGAGAGAAGCAACTTAGAACTAAGGAGAAATTTCCTGACAGTTACAACAATTAATCAGTGAAACAAGTTGTGAATGCTCCAGCACTGGAAGTTTTTAAGATGTTGGATAACCATTTTTCTGAAGTGGTGTAGGGTTTCCTGCCTAGGCAGGCGGTTGAACTAGAAGACCTCCAAGGTCCCTTCCAACTCTGTTTATTCTATTCTATTCTATCCTATCCTATTCTATTCTATTCTTCCAAGCTTTTGGACTCATGCTGGAGCCTATTCTCAGTAACTTCTTTTTCTCCAGAATATTCCAGTCCTGGTGACCGACTCAGATTTGACCCCCCACCATTATCCTGGGGTCATGTATGTTTGGCTTCATTCATTATTAATTTTTGTTGAAGCTGTTTTTATAGCTACAGATGGCATCTTCTCTGATTAATATATAGGAGATACATTAGGTTAGGAAAACGCAAACAGCATCACAAATAAGAGGAAGAAACTGGAGGCTAAATTTAATAGTGGGCTTTTTAAAGCAGCTTTCCAGTCTTTAATGTAGGAATGCCAGGAAGCATTTGTTCAATTCTACCTTCTTTTTCTTGCTTAAGACCAGATGCTACTTCAGGGGCTAAATATAAAACCACTTGTGCATTCGGGATAAAATTCTAACAGCTGGTCATTAGACATTCTTCAGGGTGCTACTCAGCCATCATATTGTCATGAGATGCTTTTAGAAAACATGATCTCTTCAGATTTTCCTCTTGGTTCAAATCTCATTCCGCGCTTTTAGAATATTAAGTAGGGTTTAATAAGCCTTTTAAGTGAACCCTTGATAAATGGTAGTCCATTTGATCCAAAGGTGGAGAAAGAATTACAGTACTGCAGACAATTTCACTAGTGCACTTGCAAATGCATTGCCTTTCTCTATCCAAAATAAGTATGTTAATCCTAGAGAAATGAATTCTACATATAGCCTATCAAAAAATAACTTTGGAATCTTTCGCTGTTTGATGATGTGTTTTAAAAGAATTTTTTCAACATTTGAACACGATTAATGAAATGTTGGCCTTTAGTTCAAACTATAACGCTTTCCACTCTTAGAAGCATTTTCTCAAAAGTGGAGTTCTTCAGCATAACAATGAAACATCATCCATTCAAAGGCTTAAAAAAATGAGTTGTCATTGCCTTTATAAATATGTAGGCCTGATGCTACCCTTTTTCAAGTATGCTTCAGGTTTAAATTCAGGATAAACTTAAATTCTCATAAAATTGCTTCAGTTTGCTTAAAACAGGTAAATCTTGTAGCAAGTCACAGTGAGTTCAGCTTAAAAGGAAGAACTAATCCTTTCCATAGGATCCCTCTGTATCTGGACTTTACTGTTTTTATCAAAGTCCTTAATATACCTTATTTTTCGGAGTATAAGACGCACCTTTTTCCCTCAAAAAAGAGGGTGAAAATCTGGGTGCGTCTTATACACTGAATACAGCATTTTTCGCCTTCTGAACCCCGTCCCCTTTGCAAAGATGGCTGTGCATAGCCTTTAGGAGGCTTCCAGAGTACTCCTGGGGCTGGGGAGGACAGAAATGAGCAAAAAATGGACCGTTTTATGCCTTGTTTTGGGGGCCCTCCCCAGCCTCCAGGAGTGCTCTATAAGCCCCCTAAAGGCTGTGCATGCCCTTTTTGGACAAAAAACGGGCCCATTTTCGGAGGTCTGCAGAGTACAAAAACTTTTTTTTTTAAATTGCCTCTTCAAATTGAGCCCGTCAACAGAATAGCCCAGCATTGGTTCCAATCAATTTGAAAAAGCTTGAAAATACATAATTTTTCATGTCCCCCAAGGATTTTCTAATAAACATTTTTCTTTCTTATATTCCAGGGGTTTTTTCCCCCCTAATTTTGGGGTAAGGCAGAATGTTTCCTTCTGGTTTATTTAGAAATGAAAACAGCTTATCCCATGGCACTTGTGGGCTATTCAGGGTAAAATATGCACTAGAAATTTTGGCTTGTTCTTGGCTTTTGATTTCATCTTCTTTAGAGAAGAACAAGTTGGAATTCCTGGTTCAGGGGTGAAATTCAGCACGTTCTGACAGGTTCTGGAGAACCAGTAGAGGAAATTTTGAGTAGTTTGGAGAACTGGCAAATGCCACCTCTGGCTGGCCCCAGAGTGGGGAGGGAAGGGGGATTTTGCAGTATCCTTCCCCTGCCACGCCCGTCAAGCCACGCCCCCAGAACTGGTAGTAAAAAAAATTGAATTTCACCACTGTCCTGGTTAGTTGTACATCATAAATAAATCAGAGTGATAAGCAGGTTTATTTAGCTGCTTCAGGCATAGTGACTGACGTGCTACTTATCCTTGAAAAGTTAACACTACAATATTGGATTTACAATACTGGATAACTGATATCTTCACAGCCCTACAACAATGTCTGCACTTCGCACACAAACACTGAAAGGTATTCCTTTTGTTCCTTTTTGTGTTTTTGCAATGATCCCCCAAGGGCCTAAGGTAAACATATGTTGAATATTGAATTTGCTCCTAGTATTTGCTTATCTGAACAACAAGAGGATTTCATCCTAAATCCTTATATCTACATACTGTTTTCTCAGTGTAAACCTATAAGAAATAGACTTTGTCTGTTGCGAAAATGGTTTGTTTTCTCTTTTCCAGGCCAACCTCTGTTTCGTGGATATTGATAACCACTTCATTGAGCTACCAGAAGAGCTTCCTCAGTTCCCCAATAAGCTCAATTTCATCCAAGAAATCTCAGAGGTTCTCCTTCAGTTTGGGGTTCCCCTTGAGGGCCAGCATCACTGTAGCGAGAGTGCGGCCAAGTTAAAAAACCTTGTCCTTAACGACTTGGCCAACGACAAAAAGAACGGGAATGTGCCCAGCAACACCATCAACGTCTATGAGCTGCTCAAAGGCAACGAGACGATCGCCCGGCTCCACGCTTTGGCAAAGAGGACAGGAGTGGCGGTAGACAAAATGACGATTACTGCTTCTTTAGCAGAAAAAGAAACGGATGTTAAACGCCACTGTGATGAACAGGAACTGAAGGACTACAAGCTGAATGTCCAGCTCCGGGAGGTCTTTGCCAACCGCTTCACGCAGATGTTTTCCGATTATGACGCTTTTGTCATTCAAGCGGCACAGGATAGAGAATCCTGGCTGACCAACAGGGAACAGATGCAAAATTTTGACAAAGTAAAAGAAGCCAAAAGCTTTTTTCTTCTAAGTCAGCGGTGGGGAACGATGGCCCTTTTATGACTTGAGGACTTCAACTCCCAGAATTCCTGAGCCAGCATGGCTGACTCAGGAATTCTGGGAGTTGAAACCCACAAGACTTGAGGACAAGACTTGAGGAATTCAAGTCCACAAGTCATAAAAGGGCTATCATTCCCCACCCCTGTTCTACGATATTTTCAACCCTTATCTTTAGGATGCTCAAAGCTCACTGTTAGCTCATATTATGCTACATTTAAGCTTCCTCAAATTAAAAAGGATTCTAAGTAAGTCTATGGAGATTCTCAGTCATCCAGGTCATGGTTATCCCAAAGGTGCTTTTTCAAGAGGCAAATGGACTTTCTTGGTTTTTCTTTGAAGACTTTTGCCTTCTCCTCCAAGAAGCTTCTTCAGCTGAGAAGCAAAATGTCTTCAAAGAGAAACCAAGAAAGTCCAGTTGCCCCTCAAAAAGCACCTTTGGGATGATTCTAAGTAAGGTTGACCCAGATCTTTGCCTTAATTTTTTTTATTAGAAACCTACTACAGGTAGTCCTCAACTTACAACCATTCATTTAACACCCTTTCAAAGTTACAATGGCATGGAAAAAATATGACTTTGACCTATACAACTGTTTCAGCATCCCATTCAGTCATGCAATCAAAGTTTGCCTGCTTGGCAACTAGGATGTATTACTGACAGTTACAGTGTCCCGGAGTCGTGTGAACGTCATTTATGTCCTTACCAGCCAGTTTCTGACAAGCAGAGTCAATGGGGATTTGCCCAACGACCGCATGATTCATATAATAACTGCAGTGATCCTCCTAACTGTGGCAAAAAAGGTTGCAAAATTAGATGTGACCAACTTTAACAACTGCCTTGCTAAGCAATGGAAATTCTGCTCCTAAATGTGGTCGTATGTTGGGGACTACCTTTGTTGGTTGTTGGATTCATGGATCAGATCATCCAAATAATGTGACTTTGTATAAGCCTCTAAGATAATATCATGTGCACAGTTAGTTTGTAAAAAGGGGGAGAGGAACTAGACTGGAGAAGAAATTCAGTCACATTTCTGTAAGCCAAAGCTGATATTGTTGATTTTTCTCCCTTTTGAAATTCAGCATTAACATAAGTCTGTTGTTCCTGGTTCTCCCCTACCCCCCCCCTCTTTTTTTAAATGAAATATTCATATTCATGGATGGAAAGGTCCATAGGATTTGCAAAGAGGTGTAATTCTACCTCTTTGCAGGAAATACTTTAATGCAATTTTCCTGTGATCTGGTTAAGGCGCTCTTTTGTTGAGGTATTTAGCCCCAGGTATTTAGCTCCTAAGAAAGTCTTTACTTGTGTACTGCCCATGATTGCAATCAGAGTGACAATAGAACAAGTTCACATACTCTCACCCAATTAGCTTTTGAGGGAATTGAGTAGAGCATGTACCCATCCTCCTTCATTGTAGTCATCATGCTTCTTGTAGCTCACCAAATAATGATATTGTGACTGATGTGAATATAATTTACAAGGGTAATAGCATGGATTCCCTGAAGTTTTATGTGTTCCTCACTCCAAATAAATGGTGATGTGAAGAGTTAAAGCAGATACAGTAGTATCTTGGTACTCAAGTGCTTTGAAACTCATTGAATTTTGTCCCAGTACTCATCGTTTGTTTGGTATTCAATGCACTGTCGTTGTCGACTACCTTGTGACTCACTACATTATTCCATATGGGAAAGTTTTGTTTGGTACTCATTCTTTTTGGTACTCATCATGCTTCCCAGAACCAATTAACGATGAGTATTGAGGTACCACTGTACTGATTGGTAGATTTCTCAGCTGTTTCCTGCACAATGAAATCCAGCATTGATTTTTCCCTATTGCAATTATCTTTGGTTATTGGGCCTTGCAAAGAGCAAATAATGAAATGACACAAGTACGTTTTAATAATATAACTAGTTTTGTTTCACTTTGATTCCTCTTTCCCCCTCTGCAGGCTTCATTTCTCTCAGATCAACCAGAGCCTTACCTTCCTTTCCTCTCCCACTTCATTGAAACCCAAATGTTTGCAACGTTCATTGACAATAAAATTATGTCCCAATGGGAAGAAAAAGATCCATTTCTGCGAGTCTTTGACTCTCGAGTTGAAAAAATGAGACTCTATAATGTCAGGATTCCCTCATTGAGAACATCGACATATCAGAAATGCACTACGTTAAAAGAAGCAGGTATCTGTAGATTTTCTACATTAAATAACTTATTTTAATAACAAGGAAAAAATAGCCTTTTCGTTATTTGGAATTGTTTGAATTAAGATATTAAGATTTTCACTAGTAATTTAGGAATAGTAAATTTATTTGGGGTTTTGTCCATCTCTATATTTAAGTCTCTTAAGTGAATTTAAAAATGCTCTGATGTCCTAGTTGGGCCTTGTTTATTATTCTAACATACTTCCTGTTTGTTCCTCTGTAAAGTTTTCTAGTGGGGTATTTGTCATTAGGAAACATTACTGCAACAGGTTTAAACCCAAAAGGTCTAAAAATAGACAGAATAAATTCAACTTTGACTTTATTCTGCACAGGAGCTGCTATTGATCATCTAGGGCTGCAGAAGTGTATGGCTAGTGTGGATCGTTCCAATTCTGATGGCCATTTTGGGGAGAGGTTGGGAAGATTAAGGAGAGAACTGAATATTTTACACCATTCAAGTTGAAACAATGTCTTTTTAATCCAGGGATGGGAAATAAACATGGCTAGGGACGTTAAGGGGTTAAATTAATTGCTCCCAGAAGCTAGCTGTCAATGATTACTGTTTCTGCTAGCAATAGTGGTTAATCAATGGCAGTGTTTCTCAACCTCAGAAATGTGAAGAGGTACTTCTAAGAGGTATTGATTGGCTGGGAAATACTGAGAGTCCACACTTTTTCACATTGCATAGGTTGAGAATCAATAGCTACTATATTTTATGCCATGTGGAAGCCTCCAAGTATCTTTCAAAGGCACACAATCAGAAAGCACCTTATAGCAATTAACTATTGATAAACTGTGGCTTTTCTTAAAAGTATGATTCATATGGGAGTATGATATTTTTTTCTAAAGCTCAGAGCTATTCTACATTAAGACAAGGACCTCTACCAAAGATCTCAAAATGCATGTTGTAGCTGAATTTTCACAAACTTCGGAAATTGCAGTTTGAGATCTTATATGAACTCAATAAAAGTTCGTGCAACACACCAAAATTCCACTTTAAATAAAGGATGTTGGAGGACTGTATACATTTAGGGAGTACAATCATCATCTGGTTTAGCCATGATGGTTGAAACCAAAGGGGTTATGGGAGATTTCTTAAGGCAGACAATTACTCTAAATAAATAGTACCTCCATAATTGATGGTTGGAGACTGAAAGAAATTTTGAAATGTGTTGATTTTCAGCAGCCTCAATTTAGAAAAAGTTGCATTTGAATAATTGGCTTTGAAATTATTTCCCCTTCTTACACATTGTCTTAATCTAAGGAGGTGACAGAATTGAAGTGACATCAAAGGATAGCTCTAATTAGCTTAAGCTTTTTTTACAACATAGATTGAGGATATTGAGGAAAGATGTGGATTTTCTCTGTGTTACGTAACTTTTAAATTTATCTAAAGGAACTCTGTGAGAAATGACTTACACTTTGATTCCCCTGACTTGAAACTCTTGACCGACCAACAGTCTTTAGCACAGTTTTTCATTTCTGTCTACAACCCCAGTGATTTGTCTAGAATAAAGAAATTCTCTGTATTTTCATTTTTTACCATCTAACCTTTCCAAAATTTGGAATAAGGTCATCCACGAGTGGCTATTTTTTTCCCACCTCTTCTGAATGAAATGATAAAGTAATGTCCGATGCAACAGCATATGTAATACTACTGTACATAGGCAAGATTTCTCTGTTCCAAAACGCCTAAGTATTTCATATAATTTTGTATATTGCTTTCAGCTCAGGCAATTGAACAACGGCTGATAAAGATGGATCACACTGCAATTCATCCGCACTTACTTGATATGAAGATAGGTCAAGGCAAATACGAGCAAGGTTTCTTCCCCAAACTTCAATCAGATGTGTTGGCAGCTGGGCCTATCAATAACAAGTAGGCAATATAAAACATTTATCAATCATAGTTTGTGTATAGCAGCGTAATGATATATTCTAGTGAACCTTTTCAGCACCGAGTACCCAAAAGGGAACACTTCGCGCTGGTCTGGGCCAGGACCAGGAAGAGGAGCTGTCTCTGGGGCGTGTGCGCACCAGAAAATTAACTTCTGGTTTCTGGCACACGCATGCGTGTCAGCCAACAAGTCTTCCAGTTACTGCTGCGCATGCGCACACACTGATCAGCTGGCTGGGGCACATGCTCACGCCGGAAAATGGAAGACCAGCTGCTGTAGGCAAGAAGGCCAGGTGATCATTGTGTGCACATGCATGCCAGAAACCCGGAAGAGGAATGGGCAACCCCACATGTGACAGGTGCCATGGTTCTGCGTGTCACTTCGGGCACACGCGCCATAGGTTTGCCATTCCAGATATATGCTATTTCTTCTGTTTATTGGAAATATGGGTAGTCTCTTCCTTCCCCCAAGCTTTTCCAACTGGTGCTTTCTTGATACTGGATCTATAACTCCCAGAATTCCCAGCCAACTATTATTACAGTTACAATATATCTTGGCAGAGGGTTTAGGGAGACTAATGTACTTTCTGTCGGTTCTGAAGAATATCCAGAAATGACCATGAGAGAATCCTCTTCCGTTCTATAGGTCATAATTAATAGTATAACTTATGTACTGCCCTTATGTAGATGAGTATAGAAGCTTAACTTACCACTCTTTCTCCACTGGCCATTACATTCAAACCTTTGCTAGTGGAACTTTGCATGTTAACGGATAGATTTTCCAAGTTCAATCCAATGTTAAAATTTCAAGACTTCCATTCTTATGTTCCTCATTCTGATTCTAAAAAAAGCAATTTAATTAAGCCGGAGCTCACATCTTCATTTTGTGTTTTTTTCTCAATTGATTTCTAACTGCTAGTTAACTTGGGCTCATCAGAAATGATTACTGCAAAATCGAAATGATTAAATAAGATTGCTAATACACTAATCTCAGCTAATTATCCTGTAATCCTTTATAATTACCCATAAAAGAACTTAGGTATTGCATGTAGTGCAAGTTGGCAAAGCATTCAGGAAGTGTACATGAGATCAGATAACCCACCATTGTGATTTATATTTTTCGTGTACTTTTGTAAAGGAAAAAAAAATGCTTAAGCGGTTCCTGTAAATGGAAATACTTCTGTGAGTGAAAAACCACTGAGAGAGGGTTGGTTTAGACCAGTGTTGGCGAACGTTTTCGGCGCCAGGTGCCGAAACGGGAGCGCCTGTGTGTGCCGGAAACCGGAAGAGCAGCTGCCCGGTGCACATGCCAGGAAGATGATCTTCCGGTTTCCAGCGCATACATGAGCACCGGTCAGCTGGTCTTCGCTCAGGTGGACGCTGCACGCATGTGTACCAGGCAACTGCTCTTCTGGTGTTCCAGCGCTCCTGCGCATGCAAACACCAGCTGTCTGGCGCACCGGAACCCGGAAGAGCAACAGGTGATGGCTCATGCGCCCGGAGAGATGGCTCTGCATGCCACTTCCGCCATCACGGGTCTAGGCAACCTTTGAGATTCTTTTAACTTTTATGACCCCATTGGCTAGTATTTTCTGATCTATTTCCTTCATCCTTTTTTTTTCTGGTTCATCACGTGCCCTTCTGTGCAAATTCCCTTTCTGAGCTGTGAGGCTTGTGAACAAAAAACATGTATTTTCTATGACATGAGCAAGTGTGACATTGGTTCTCACGGCTTCCTTTCTATTAAACGATTGTAGTCGGTGGGTGAGCCGCAGTACTACTGCCCAACGGAGGAAAGATCGCATTCGACAACATTCGGAACACATTGCCCTGGACAATGAGTTAAGGGAGGTAAGCAATGAAGTTAAGAATTGATAGTCAGGGGTTTCTGCAAGACTCAGTAATTCGGGGTTATATAATATTTTCCAAACTCTGCTTTTAATCACATAATAATGTGCAAGGAAGAACTTTTCATTCAATTTTGTGTGTGTGTATTTGACTATGTGTGCCATCAAGTCTGATTTTTACTCCTGGCAATTGCCTAAACAAGTTCCTGCAGTTTTCTTGGCAAGGTTTTTGAGAAGAGGTTTGCCATTGCCTTCTTCCTAGGGCTGAGAGATAATGGCTGGCCAAGGTTACCTATCTAGTCATGCCTTTTGCAGGACTAGAACTCACCATCTCCCAGTTTCCAATCCCCCTTGCCCCTTATCTCAGTATCTTCCAGCATAGCATGTCCTGTAGGTGGCTATAGAATAATTTCCCTCTGGCTTTGAGAAGGTGATGGGAGAAGAGAAATGTTTGCTCAGCCCTGGGCAAATAAATGGCTAAGAAAGAAGCTCAGAAAAGCTCTGTGTTGAATCTTGCTATGGGTAAAATGGGGCCAGTGAAGGCTTTGGATAGACTTTCAGGATTCTGTTATGGTACCTGCAGCAATGGGGTAACATTCCTGGAATCTCTGGGTTGTCCACCTCGCTTGCCTCAAAGAACTGAGACCATCTTCTCCATTCTTTCATCTCTTCTGTGTCTTTCCTCCCTCTGTCCCTAAGTCCTTGTTGTTGTCCCATCACTGACATTCTATCTGCCTTCCTTTCTTTTCTTGTCCTCTCCTGGGTCTCCTTAGCTGCTACCAACATCGCAATGTCTCATGTCCCACTAGTTCACTCACTGTTCCCTTCCATCCAGAGGTGGTATGCAGCCAGTTCTGACTGGTTCTGGACAACCGGTAGTGGAAACATTGAGTAGTTTGGAGAACCGGCAAATACCACCTCTAGCTGGCTCTGCCCCCATCTATTCGCTGCTTCCCGAGTCCCAGCTGATCGGCTGGGTCTTCTTCTGTTGCCCTGCACAGGAGAATGGAGCTGGAAAGCAGGTTAATAGGGTGGGGTGGAAATAGCGATTTTACAGTATCCTTGCCCTGGAATGAGGTGGAAATGAGGATTTTGCAGTATCCTTCTCCTGCCACGCCCACCAAGTCATGCCACGCCCATAGAACCAGTAGTAAAAAAATTTGAATCCCAGCACTGCTTCCATCCCATGCCTCCCTATAGCCATTATTGGTGTCCTTGGCTTCTTCCCACTTTTATCTCCCCGCCCCAAAATTATTTCTGCTCAGAACAAATGAGTTTCATCCCACATTGCTACAAAATAATCCCACTTCATCCCATGGATGGACCAGAACACCCAAAATACGTCTTTCAGTTTAGGCATAACCCTATTCAGAACTGTACAGTTTCCCCCGTATGGAACAGTTCATACACAGAATATTTGACATACTCCTTTGCATTTTAAACTGGAACAATTCCCAAAAATTTGACGACGTCATTCAAAAATCATCTCCAACAGCTTCTTTTTTTTTTAAAAAAAAAATCAAATTCAGTCAGGAATGTTTGGTGGCTAAAATACTCAGAACACAATTTTGTTGCACTTTCTGAATGTGCTCCTCACTAGTTTCCATAGGAAACTTAAACTAAATGAATGAATAGGTGTCTTATTATTTCAAGTAAGCTTATATTGATTTACCAATACAAGATATTTCATCTTGTTATTTGCAAGGTCATATAATGGAAAATGGGACACGGTGGCTCTGTGGCTAAGACGCTGAGCTTGTCGATCAGAAAGGTCGGCAGTTCGGCGTTTTGAATCCCTAGTGCTGCATAATGGAGTGAGCTCCGGTTACCTGTCCCAGCTTCTGCCAACCTAGCAGTTCGAAAGCATGTAAAAATGCAAGTAGAAAAATAAAAACCACCTTTGGTGGGAAGGTAACAGCGTTCTGTGTGCCTTCGGTGTTTAGTCATGCCAGCCACATGACCACGGAGACATCTTCGGACAGTCCTTGCTCTTTGGCTTTGAAACAAAGATGAGCACCGCCCCCTAGAGTCGGGTGTGACTAGTACATATGTCCGAGGGGAATCTTTACCTATAATGGAAAATAACTTGTTTATAGCTGAATTTGAAACTGGGAGATACAATCTTTCTTAAAACCAAAACCTCGATGGCATTCTGGGAGTGGGATCAGGGCCTGCCCCCTCCTTTACGGCCACCTAAAAAATCATTCTCTGTCCGTATTTTTATTTTATTTCTCATTTTCTGACACCTTTAAAGAATATCAGTTATAACCACAAACTTGCCAAGCCATTGTTCATTGTCCGTCTTTTAGGTGGAATGAGCTTTAAAAAAAAACATTGCTTTGTGTTGATTGTAAACGTATTCCATGCCTTATTTAATTTAATTTAATTTAATTTTCTTTGTTTATTTATCTGTGCTGTATTTACTCCCTGCCTTCCCGTTGGGATGTTTTCCCTTGATTCATGTGCAGCATGCATATTTCATCGTTTTCTTTTTCTCTATCTGCTGTTCTGCCATGCATGGGTTCTGTTGGCCTCCTCCAAGCCATCAGAGGAGTTCTTGATTCGCCAGAACCCGATGGCATTCTGGGAGTGGGATCAGGGCCTTTCCCCTCCTTTACGGCCACCTAAAAAATCATTCTCTGAATGTTGCCTGGTACGTGCTGTTCTTTAATTTTGCTTTCCTCCCCAAGAGCTGCTTCCTTGATCACGCTTAGCCACTGCTGTTTTCTCTGGTAGACCATCATTCACTCCTCTGTGGTCATTGAAAGTGTGGTTCTAATTGGGCAAGTTGTCCCCACAGCGCCAGAGATCCTGGTTTTATAGCGGCACGACGGTAGGACATTTGTAGGAGACCGTCAGGTTCATCTTCCATAAGCTGGTGAAAAATGAAAACTTGGACTTCAGTAGTGTACCGTTTCCCCTAAAATAAGTTCAATCCTGAAAATAAGGCCACCAATTCCGCCTGGTTTCTCGTGGTGCCACGGCCATGAGGTGAGGCAGGGGGTGGAGCTGCACCATGCACCATCTTACCTCCGGGACCCCACAGCCAGGCCATCCACACTGACACACGCCTCGTGGTGGCAGCACTAGCAGTCATGTGCAGGCTGGTCTTACTAGGATACCCTTTAGACACCTACTTGGGAATATGCCAGTGGTGGGATTCAAATAATGTAACAACTGGTTCTCTGCCCTAATGGTTTCTTCTAACATCCAGTTCACCAAACTGCTCAGAAAGTTAACAACCGGTTCTCCCGAAGTGGTGCAAACTGGCTGAATCCCACCACTGGAATATGCAAACAATTGTATATTTGAGAGACTGCCTCTCTTGAGGATCTCTACCTGTCCTCCTGTTATATTGGATAGGTTGGACTTTCTCCAGGTCCCCACCATTCAATGTCATTTGGCAGGACCTAGAAGGTGAGCCTCTTCCATAGCTGTATGGAACAGGCTCTCCCCTGAGTTCTGTAGAGTCCTGACCCCTCTTGCCTTCTGAAGGGACATTATGGTCATGGATCCAATCTGGGTCAGTTACTGGGACCAGAGGTTTGATCTTCTGAGCTTTCAGATTCATGCTGGAGCCCATCCTTATTAAGGTCATGGGTTTTTTCCCCTCAAGCACTGGGGCGTGATGGGAAGTGAGTGTGTGTGTGTGTGTGTGTGTGTGTGTGTGTGTGTGTGTGTGTGTAAGAGAGTACTACCATTATAGTGCTGATGGTATTCTAGGGTTGTAATCTTTGGTGTTTTTTGTATTTCTGCATTTATTAGTTGGCATAGATGGCATGCAATTTTTCAAATAAAAACAGCATATTTTTCATAGTAAAAATAAAATAGGGAAATTAAAATATGAGCCTGGCCAGACTAGTTTTTCTATAACTCTCTCTCTCTCTCTTGCTTTCTCATGTACACATATCTGCACACATACAAGTGTGTGCCATCCTGATTAGCTCCACATACTTTAATTATCCTAATTATAATATCAGCTCTTTTTGGGGGGTTGACTTCTCACCTGCTGCTATTGTAACATCCTTGGTGATTATGTGAGGGACTTTGGGCTCCTAGAATTGGACAGCCGCATGTTCTCCAAAATCTATCACAGGGGTGTCAAACTCGAGGCCTGTGGGCCGTATCCAGTCTGCAAGGTGGTTAGATCTGACCCACGAGGCTGCCCTGGAATCAGCAAAGAACCAGCCCGCAGGGCCTCTGCCATTGAAAATAGAGTGTGGGAGGGCTGCGTGCCGTTGCAGCCAAAAACAGAGCTTGGGAGCCTGTTTTCGCTGGCAGAGCACTTGGGCCACCACCACAGGCGACCACGACACAAGTGATATTGAGCTGGCCATGCCCACCCCAGCTCCCCAAAGTCAAACACAACCCTGAAGTGGCCCTCAATGAAACCGAGTTTGACACCCCTGGTCTATCACTATCTGCCTCACTAGCTAGAAATTTCTCTACATCTAAATTTAATTAGATGTAGTCTTGTAAATCAGTCCGTAAAGACAATATCACTGGGTGTTTGCTCTCACCTATCCAATTAGAACCTTGCTTTGAATGGCCAGCACGAATTCCCTTCCTGTTCCTATTTCCTTTTCTTAATTTGTTCATTACAGTGTTCTCTCTTTTTCCCATAGTTGCTGCTTGATATATTCAGAATAATTGGGGGGTGGGGGTGTGTGAGTATGTAAACTGGAATGCTGCTACAAAATTATGGTTTATATAGCATACCCGAAACTTAGGAGGAACATGGAAGTTTTGAGCTTTCCCAGTGTTAATCTTTACCATCATTCATTCAAAGATTTGTGTACTACCCTACTTCAAATGATTTAAGGCAGTACAGTATAGTACAGCAATTTAAAAAAAAACCCTCATGAAATTAACATAAACATAATACAGTAATTGAGTACAGAAGCAACTCAGATGTACTGTCAGCACCAAAGCTCATTGGAACAATTTTGGTCTTAACAATGTTGCCAAAAGTGAACATGTCAACGTGTTCCATAACGTGGAGGCCACTACCCAGAAAGTGTCCTCCCTCCACTCCTCCTGGAGTAGAGATCTCAGCAATCCTCCTTGGGATGAATGCTCAGATTTAATTTACTGTGTTCAGGAGAAATACTTCTATAGATACATCTGCCTGAATATGTAGGACTTTTAAGAATCAAACTAGCACTTTCGAGAGGAGTTGGAGGCCTATTGGTAATCACTGCAGTGAATTCCACAAAGGTGTAACCTTAACTTAAGTTGTAACTTCCTGTTATTGGGATGTTGCATTTTGGCCCCGTTGCAGCTGCAGAGTCGTTTTCAAGGGTGGCCCCATGTAAAGCATATTGCAGTAGCTGAAACGTAAGGCAATGAGTACATGAATGACAGCTGTTCGGGCTTTCCAATCCCAGGAAGCCTGCAATTGACATGCCAACTGAAGTCAGGAGAAAACCTGCCCCTACATGTGAAAGAAATATCTATTTGCTATCTAAAATTCTGCTACTGTAGATGAAATTGTTGTAAGACGCTCAAATCACTTTTAGTGACTTGGGAGCCATATAAATTAGATGAATAAATAAATAAATCCATGAAAACTGTAATACAGTTTTAGGGCAGGGAAGCCTTATAGGAGTTTCTGCTGTCCATTCCTCTGTGTGTTATGTGCGTATTTATTTATTTAGGGACATACAAAGGGGAGGAATCAACCATGAAGTTGATTCAAGCAGTGTACTTAATTCAAAGATCAGCAGGGATGAAGGAAGCCAGGAAAACGTGAGGATTTCAGCCCCTCTTGAAAAGCTGTTCCTGATCCCCAGAAATTATTTACCGAGGAGCAGGATACTCATGATAAAGGAACGTTTGCTCAGTGGCTAAGATGCTGAGTTTGTCAATCAGAAAGGTCGGTAGTTCGAATCCCTGTGGCACATAACAGAGTGAGCTCCCGTTACTCGTCCCAGCTTCTGCAAATCCTAGTAGTTTGAAAGCATGTAAAATGCAAGTAGAAAAATAGGAACCACTTTGGTGGGAAGGTAACAGCGTTCCGTGCGCCTTCAGCATTTAGTCATGCTGGTCGCATGACCACAGAGACGTCTTTGGACAGCGCTGGTTCTTTGGCTTTGAAACAGAGATGAGCACCACCCCCTAGAGTCAGGAACGACAAGCACATATGTGCGAGGGGAACCTTTACCATTACCTTTTACTCATGATAATGCTTTTTCCCGAAAACATTTTTAAAAAACCCTCCTCTACTAGTACCCTTTGCTGCTAGCTTCGAACTTCCGTGATGTATAGTTATTACATTTTGGTACAAAGTGAAATTGTACCATATGAAATTAAACAGGACAGTGCTACCTGTACTATTTTTTTGGTGTTCATTCATGTTTTCTTTTCTTACTGGATTAGAAATACATGCAAGAAGCAAGGACCCTGGGGAAAAATCTCAGACAGCCCAAACTCTCTGATCTTTCTCCTGCTGTAATTGCCCAGACAAATTCGAAATTTGTAGAAGGTTTACTCAAAGAATGTCGAATGAAGGTAAGTTTGTTATGTGTACATGCACAGGTAAAACATCCATGTTATGAAGTTAGGGAGTCTCCCAACCCAAAAATGCTTGTTCATTTTGCTGCTCTGGGACTTTGAGTTGAAGACCCTTCATAAATGGTCATCGTTCCTCATTCGAGTGAGGTTTAGTTGGTATAACAATCCAACTAAACAATTCAGTTGAAATTCACATGGACAGAAATTAAAGAAAAATATGATTGATTTATTGTTATCCAGTATTTCTTGAATGAATAGCTCTGTATAGTCTGGTATAACATTTTTAGGGTGAGTTCCAAAATTTACATGTAAAATTACATCATAAAGAGAGAACAGGACCATTCGGAAAACCACAGAAAATTAGGCATTCAGAAAGCATGAAAGCAGAAAGCATTCAAACTATTTAAATGTTTTTAGAATAATAAATGGGTTGTTTACAGTGGCACAGTGGTTAGAGTGCAGTACTGCAGGCTACTTCTGCTGACTGCCGGCTGCCTGTAATTTGGCAGTTCAATTCTCACCGGCTCAAGGTTGACTCAGCCTTCCATCCTTCTGAGGTGGGTAAAATGAGGACACAAATTGTTGGGGGGCAATAGTCTGACTCTGTAAATCGCTTAGAGAGGGATGTAAAGCACTGTAAAGCGATATATAAGTCTAAGTGCTATTGCTGTTATTTCTGACACTAAGAAAATAACATCATGATTCCAAGTGCATCTTCCTGCTGAGAGTTTTCTAAAGATAGTTTGACATAGTTGCATTTTGACATTTCAGAAAAGGCAAAGTTGGGTTTGAGTTTAGGATTTTAAGCTTTGTAAATCACTTGCTTGTTTGCAGACCAAACGTATGCTAGTAGAGAAGATGGGTCACGAAGCAGTGGAACTTGGCCACGGAGAGGCCAACATCACAGGACTAGAAGAAAATACACTGATTGCTAGTCTTTGTGATTTGTTGGAAAGAATTTGGAGCCATGGATTACAGATCAAACAGGTCAGTGGCTTGAAAACTCAAATATTTTCATCTTCTACATTACTTCCATACATTGCTTTATCTAAAAAGTTAATTGCTGAATAGCTCATCCCTCATCTTGGAAGAGGCTTGGAAATGTTTGAACAGCATTTCAGCAGCTTCACTGGCATGGTCCAGAGTCAAATTATAATTAGTGATGATACCAAACTCCAAATCAGTAAATGAAATCTCCCAGCAATCTCAAGTAAATGTTGACATGAGACTTCATGTTTTCTTACAATCTGGTATAGTTTAAGTTCCATTAAAGCAGGAATGTCAAACTGGATTTCTTTGAGGGCTGGATCAGCATTGCAGTTCTCCGCAGGCCCACCAGGGGAGGTGGGGGGAACAGGATGGACACCTTCTGCAACACACACACACATGCCCTGTTTCGCTGGCAGAGGCACCGCGAGCCGATCCTTTGCTATTTCCAAGCCAGCCCCATGATTTAAGCACTCGGATAAATCCTGCAGGCCTTGAATTTGACACCCGTGCATTAAAGAGAGATCCTATCTAGAATTAAGGAGAAATTTCCTAACAGAGCAATTAATGGGTCATCTCTGGAAGTTGTGGGTGCTCCATCATCATCACTGGATGTTTTCAAGAAGAAACTGGACAGCCATTTGTCCAGGATGGAATAGGGTCTCCTGCTTGATCAGGGGGTTGGATTAGAATCCCTCCAATGACCCTTCCAACCTTGTTATTCTGTGTTCTAATTATCTGTTTTATTTTTATAAAAAGGGAAAATCTGCATTGTGGTCCCATTTAATTCAGTACCAGGAAAGAGAAGAGAAGCAGGAGCAGCTTGCAGAATCTCCAGGTGAGGATTACCGATGTTTGTAGGGATAACTTTGCAAGAACTATTAGCTGGACTATTAAGAGACAATGAAGGAGGAAGTAAATGACAGCTCAGCCCTGGGAAGGACAGAGCATTCGACAGAGACTGGGGTTTTTCCCCCCTATCCTTTTAAAAAAATAATTGCACTTTGGACTTGAAATATTGGATCTAAACCAGGGACTCAAACTTGATTTCATTGAGGACTGCATCATAGTTGTGTTTGACTTTGGGGGATGTGGGGCGTGGCTAGCTTCTTCACTATTTCTAGGGCGGCCCCATGGGCCAGTTCTAAGCACCCCATGGGCTGGCCCTGGCTTCCAGCCTTGAGTTTGACACCCCTGATCTAAATCATCTGATTTCTACTGAGCAATAAAATAATATCTTTAGTGGTAGATGCATATTTACGTCCAAAGATGTAGTGTCTCAAATGGTCTTGCATAGGTCTTGCAGTATTTTAGTGTAATGTATATAATGAAATTAAATATGCTGTTCTTCTTGTAAGTCAGGGTGAATGATGATTTTAGTCAATCAAAGAAAATATCATTTAATAGGACAAATCAAAGATTTAACCTCTTTTTCTAGATAGAAATATCCCTTTAAGCAGATTTGTTGGCATGTATTCATATTTTTAATGCTCTCCCTTGCTCTCTGATTAGGAAAGTACAAACATGTGTCAGTTGTGAATGATGATGAAAGTTTGGGAGAGAGAAACAAAATTGAAAGGTTTAAGCAATCAATGGGATTATATGACTGGAGTGGCAGTAAAGTCTTTCCTTTATTCCAGTCAGGAAGGACGAAAATTCTTTTCTCCCCTATTAAAATTGTATAAATATTTAAGTCTTCATCTGGTCAAAATGAATAACTCTACACAAACTTACTGAGATCAGGGAGCGTTCTTATTTTACTGATATGAAAAATATGACATGTAAAAACTGATATCAGGTTATCTGTTTAGGTATAAGTTGCTTTTTTTTTCTATTTTAGGATTGCAAGTTTACATTAAAACTTTTCCCAGTGTAAAAAGAAATTCGGAATAAATTTAGTTTGGTGCCAACATTTGGCTTGCCCTGTCTAGCATAAAAGCTAAACTTAATTGGTCTTAGTATGTGAATGAAGTTCCATCTAGAACAGGAAAATGGACTCGAATGTCAAAAAGCATCATGGAACAAGGCAATGGCGACTTCTTCAGTACTGACACCCCCCCCCCCAAAAAAAAACCCTACTTGTCAATGAAATCACCAAGAGTCAAGCTTGACTTGAAAAGATTTTTGAGGATTCCCCTTAAATGCTCAGACTTAGCTCTGGATTAAATAAAAGAGACATCCAACTGCCATAGACAAGTAGGACATTCTTTCTATGACTTAATTCAGGTAGATTTCTCAAAGGGGTTTAATATTTTAGTAGATTTCTGTACTGAACATGTTACTAATAAATTAATGAATCTTCTCCTCGCTACCACTCTGCAGTTGCTGTCGGACCAGAAAGAAGGAAATCTGACACGGGTTTTATGTTACCTACTCTAAGAGTTTCACTTATCAGTGATATGAGGTAGGACATTTAATTCCTAAAACTTGGGTTTTAAAGATTTATGCTTCAAATTGGAAAAAAAAAGAGGCTATGCATTAGAGATTTCAGACTGTCAAACACAGTTTACCATGGAGGGGGTTTGTGAGTCTGAATAAAAATAATATGAGAAAGAAGCGAGGCAGAATTTCTCCTTTTGGGAAATGTATAAATTGGACAGTAATGGTAGACTAGGCTGGGACAACAGTTCAAATCTCCAGTTAATCATGTAGGACATCTAGGCCATCCATCACATCTCTCAGGTTCCAATTAATGTACCCATCGCAAACAGAACTCCGAGACAATCCATTTCCTCAAAGAACAGGTTTATTCAGATACATCAGTGGTTCTCCAGAAGCTGGTTGGAGAATTCTGGGAGTTGAAGTCCACAAGTCTTAAAGTTGCCAAGTTTGGGAACCACTGAGATACATCATCTTAGCACAAACTGGTGGAAAGCCAGTACTGAAGGTTCCCGCGCTTTCCACCACATTAAAAGTAAAAGTTTCTTGCTTTCTCAAAACAATAAATCACATTGTCCAATTGGGATACTGGCTGGTTGCTTGGAAACGTCTCTCTTCCTCTGGCCGGCCAGACATTCTGACTCATAAGAGAGCTATGTTGTTTTGGCTGCAAATCTCCATCTATCTCTACTCTCTCTCTTCAATGCCAAACTGTCAACCTGAACATGTGCAGATAACCCATGATAGAAACAAAAGCCCCAACGAAAAGGGACTGACCACAGCCAGGTTAGCTTCAGGCTTGACAACATCTCTGTAAGTGTAGTTTATGGATGCTGCCTATAGGCCCTTGAAAGAAGATGGGACTGACTATCATTATTATTACATGTAGTTCTTGATTTAAGACCTGTTGTTTAACTAATGATTTCAACTATTTATTTAATGATCTCACACAAAAATGTTGTAAAATCAGGTCCAGTCACATGGGTGCCTTGACTTATGACTGTAACAACTTAAGACCGTAAATCCGGTCCCAATTGCAGTTGTAAATTGAGGACTATCTGTATCATCATCCCATATCAATCTACTCCAGAATAAACCTCCCTTGAGCTGCTTTCTAAATGCTTCAAAGATCTGCAAGTTGTTTGCAGGTAACACCTCTAGACAGTGGTGGGATCCAAATAATTTAACAACTGGTTCTCTGCCCTAATAACTAGCTGGGTAGGCGGGGCTCAGTGGTCATGTGACAGTGTGGGCATGGCCAACTCAATGTCATTCAGGTCAATGGGTGCTTTACCTTAGCTATTACAATGTCATAAGGGTTAACTGGAGAGGCAGTTTCTGTAAGGATGGAAATAAAGATTAGGCTAGAAACAACACCAGAATGTTTCCTTTCTGCCTTGCTTATAGGAATAGCCCTGTAAAGTGGGGGGAAAACCAAAATGAGATTTCTTCCAACAACCGGTTCTCTGAACCTCTTAGAAAGTTAACAACTGGTTCTCCCGAATAGGTGCGAACTGGCTGAATCCCACCACTGTGTACCACCTGT